ATCGCTAAGCCTCTGCTGGCCGCAGCTGCGCAACTCGAACCATCCTTGCCTCAGCGCCTAGCTTTTCGTGTTTGACAAGAGCAGTCGGTGCTTGCGGTACTCTTGACTGTACATGTGCAGCTCAATGATCTGTGCACAACGTGCTCGCTTGACGCAGTAGAGGTGGCCCTCACCTGTACCTGTACTAGTCGATCCATGGGCCAAGGCCTTGGGCTTCATTCTGATCAGTGATCCTGGCGATCGGGGTTGCGCATTCCACTTGCTCTTTTTGCGTCCGCGTTGTTGATGACACAACGGCGACCAAAGGTCGCGAGCGAGCTCCAATCATCCGCACTCGAGTTCAAGCCATCGATCTAGTCAAGCGTCGCATTATATGCGTTGCAACGTCGTCTCGCTCGCGTTCTTTCGCACATGGCCGACTCTGTTGTACAGCATCACGAATGCATTTGCAATTGCAATTTTGGTCTGAACAAGAGAGCGCTCTACACGGCGAACTGGTCTCTCATGTCACAGCGCACATCAGCGACTGAACGTAGCAATGGTGCTTACTTCATGAACCTGTGAATAGGCGAGGAACATCAGTGACCTCCACGCTCTTTCGAAGAAATGAAGTATGCTCAAGACTCACTTGGCAGCCGAGTCGTTGAGCTTCTTGCCATCCTCGAGCTGACCCTCCCACGCAAGGCAGTCCTCGAAGAACTGCTTTTGCTTGGGGTCCTGCAGGTCAATGGGAGAAGCCTTGTAGGACTCCCAGTCTGGCGCAACGCCGAGAACGTCGTCCACGTTCTTGCCTCGGATGACAAAGACACCAGCAATGGCGCTGTTGTTGGACTCTCCATACACCGCAGCGCTACCCATCACGTACTTGCGCGATGCCTCCAGACGAGTAAAGAAGCCACCAATCTGGTTAGCTGGAGAAGTCAAGGTCCGACCCAAGAAGGTGGGCGTGAGTATCCAGCGGGCTGCCGCATAGCTATATGGGTGCAAAGAGCTCACCAGACATGAACACCTGAGTCAACTCGTCGTTGTACTTGAAGTCAACACGCCACAAAGAGTAGCCCTCCGCATCGTAGTTGGCGTAGAACCAGTTCAAGAAATCGGGCTTGGTGTCGAGGTTCGAATATTGACGCTTGCACTCGTCCAGGATGAACTTGGAAGGTGGCAAGCTGGCGCAAGGGTGAGCAGCCTTTGGCTCAGCGGGCGCAGCAGGCTCATCATCATCGTCATCGTCCTTCTTGGCTGTTGGCTTCTTGGCTGCCTTGGGCTCTGCAGGCTTGGCAGCGGCAGCAGCAGCAGCAGCGACAGGCTTGGCAGCATCCTTCTTGGGAGGAACAAATTTCACATCCTCCTTTGCGAGAGCAGAGTCTGGTGCGGCGTACACGTCTGCAATCTTGTCCTGGTTGATCACAGTTTGGAAGTATCGGATGACGTTGGGGTACTGATTGCGGAAGTCGGGGCCAGCAACGACGGTGAAGAGGAAGCGCAAGTTGGCAACGATGGTCAAGTCAGCCAGGGTGACACGGTGTCCGATGAGGTATGTGTGCTTCTTGATGTGGATGTCTAGGTGGAGCAGGGCGCGCTTGAGGTCGTCCCACAGCT